TATGAGATTTCAGATTAAATAACGTCTGAGAATTTCTCATAAAAGAATTTTAGCTAAATGTTGCTAAATTTCTAAAACTATTTCCGAGTCCAATCAAGCTTTTTCTACGGCTAAATGACCAGAAAATAGAGAATAAAAAACAGTACAAAGTTATAGGAACTTCTACTTTGCTTAAATCAACCTGTGGAAAATATGACAGAGTGGGACAAAGCACTGAACAAGCTCACCCTGATCAACACAGTGTATTGTGGGCAAAGTATGTCAATTACGCTGAAAACTGGGCTATCAATGCAACAACAACAATATCCTCCTATATGCCTCAACTGTTTCCAATGGAGGAGGGCACAAAGTCTACAGAACGCTTTATAGTGATATGGCACAACCAAACATGTCAATTATTGATGGAAATAAAGATAACGCAAACTACCTTCATCATGTTAAACAATTAAGTTTTCACCTGGTATGCTAAGCAAGTGAATCTGGCAGCAGTTAACACAGGTCATTACTAAATGGACACCATGCATAACTATGACGTTCCTTTTTTTAATTCAGTACAGCTAAAGTTTTGGAGGAAAAAAATATTGCAGTAAGAGACCTGTTTCAGTGTCGAGTTTCAATTTTAATTAAATTTGCTCAGGCAAATAGTCAGGGAACAAAGACAGGTGAATTGAATATGTAAATTTGGAGTAGAACGTGACGGTAAGAAAAGAGGTGGTCACGATCTGAGTTTTTGACAGCTCACCAACTGCAAATGAAACTGAGCCAATGAGACAAAAGTATGGGTTTCAACGGAGAGTTGATCAGGCCCACAGATATTGGGCTGTGTTTAAAAAGCTGCCATCAGGTGAAAGCAGCTTATTTGTACCGCAAACAGCAAACCCAGTTGGGAAAAACGGAGCTCAGTCAACATTTCATATGATAAAACACTTGACAATTACAATGGAATTGCAGAGCTAGGAGTGAATGCAACCAAATACTGTACGTGACAAAATTCACAATAATCCTGCTTTTTATAACATAGGCAATGCTTTTTATATAACACAAGACAACACGACATGTGCTTTGCCACCGACACTAGATTTACATTGATGAATACTTGTACCATCATTATTCACCATTACCGATATTGGAACAACAACTTTTATAAGAATGTTCAAGAAAAGATGGATAGTGTCGGCTGCCTGTTTTACACATGGCAATCAAATACCATAATCACTGAAGTGAAATGAAACGGTAACAACCAATGGATACAATAGTCCAATGGACAGAGTACAGTGTATAACAGACTGGGATCATTACTGCAACTCAGACAATATTCCCTGTACATTTAGTCACCTTGACAGCAGTGTTGAAAATTTACAGACAAAAAGTTAAATAAAAAAAAATACCCAAGAAAAATTTAAGTGAATTAAATTTATGATTGTTTTATATAATAAAGGTAGAAAATATGAAGGAATTCAACAACAGTCAAAATACCAATTCAGTTTCATGGCATGATATGTTATTTTTATAAACAAAGAGTACAGTACATATTATCTGTGATCCAATGTATTTTTTCAAACATCTCTGGAGAAAGAAACCTGCCTCACGGCAACTGGAATTCCAATATCAGACACAGTATCATCATGACATGAACATAGATAGCGACAAGGAATGCCCATTTTGACAAGTCTACGACCAAACAAACTACTAGTTTTTAAAAGAAATGGCAACACAAATTAAAGAGAAATTACATAGAAGTCTCATGGGTGGTATTGTGCATCCTAATTAGTGCCTTTTTAGCAAACTATGATGACCCCTAGGGATATCAATTACAATAGACTCATATAACACCAGATAAGAACAACTATCCAATATCATACTTTGATCTACAGAATGACAACATGCAAACCTTCAATCCACTCACCAAACCGCAGAACAAAATTCCCAACATCAAGTTGAAACCAAGTAAAAGACTACACTCAGCTACATCATGGCCCATTGCCTGTATAGAACATGGCTGCGGCTACACCCACACAATGCATTTGTTAGAGATTTCAATAGGACTATAATAACACTGATTTAACCTCATCATACATGAACCAACCGGACATATTCATGTAGACCCCCTCCCTCTCTCCCACACCTGCCAATTACAATAATACCTTTAACTCTGCATTTCATTTTAACTCAGACTAGAACCAAAACTTCACATTTTTTTGTTGTCATCTTCATATTTTAGTACTTGACTGCTAAAAGAAGTTACCAAACCAGTAAGATCTTTTTAACAAAGCTATTTAGTACACGTGCATTAATTCCTTGAAACAGAGTGGTCTACCTATAGTTCTTTTTATGTTTTGTAATAGCGATATTTTGACCTCTGCATGGGAAACACTTTTACATCATGCTGTGTTGTGCATCAAATTGAGGCGGTGCAATCAAAGATTATTATTTTTAGGATAGTGTGTTTTTAGATTTAATATAAAATTGGAGAAATTCAAAGGTTGTGTTTTTATTGTAAGGCTGAAATCTCATGAACTTAGTATACATGCAAGGTACTTGCTCATGTAAAATATTTGAAAGCACCTGATTTGGTGGCGATGTTATGAATATTCATCCAATTTCTCAGGTCTGCTATTAAGAAGTTAACCAGAAAATAATTGAAAAGTGGTAAAAAAAACAATTAGTTCATTTCATAGAAATTTTCACATGGTTTTCATGGTATTCTGGTATATTTAAAAAAGGTCCTGATTTAAATTGACAAACTGAGAATATACTATGTATGGTCTTTAGTACCGCTGAAAACACAAGTATTGATGTAACATTTGAAATGCATCTTTTCTTGTTAAACATATCAGCTTAAAATATTACTATTAAATATAATAACAATTCATACTGACAAAAATCACATCTTACTCTTATAAAACTGTTACCACAAATGTACAATAAATCAAATCATATATTATACTTCAAAGAGTAAATTAAAAAAAAATATGAAATTAAGTTTTAGAAATTGATAATAAATTTGGAGTGGTATTTTCTATCTTGCTAAAAATAATTCCATGTGTATAATGTACATTTCGTTACTTAGCTAATCTGTTAAATTCGAGAGATAATCGCTTGTCAGGTGCGAAATATCGTGGCATATGGAATAGGCTTTTATTAAAACGTGCAAATCAAACTAATACCATAACAGCAGTGACATGATACATGCTGTCATAGCAACCACATATTAGCAGTCACTGTAATGTGACAAAGCTAAAATTTTAATTACAAAACTAAGTGAGAAAGAAAAAAAATGTGTTGACCTGATTAATCAAACTCATTCCAGGACATGTACTTATTTTAAGTTAAAGCCCAGAAAATATTATTTGCGCAGTTTTCATAATTGCTGCTGGTCTATTACAAATACAACACACTGTCTTTTTTTGGGGGGGCATACAATGTTGTTGCTGTATTTTAGAGAGACAGGCCTATACTGACAATTTAACAGTCTACTATCAGCTTTTATCTATACTTATGCATACCCAATTGGACTCCTAATAAAACTGATTCCTTATCAGTAGTATCCTGTCAACACCAATTGCTGGTATAAAGTACAAACAAACTGAAATTTGAGAAAAGGCAGTTATGTGATTTAATTACCACAGATTAATTAGTGAACAAATGCAGACTCAATTTTAGAATACAATCTGGATGATTGAATTGTAATCTTCAAAATTAAAATTTGTTTAAAAGTTCCTTATCAGTTCAATATACTGCATATGAACAGGACAAAGAGTGTACAGTCAATACAACAGGGCAGAAGAAAACAATTCAATGCTAAACAGACCAAAGCAGACAATTTAAAGAAAGAATTTACAGAAAATAGCTAAAATTTTTAATTAGAATTTAAGAAAATGTTACATCTAGATGAGAGTTCAGTTTGGTCACTGTTAAAACATTTTGGCTTTTGTGTTGACCAGGAAGAGATGTAGTATTAAGTCAGGGTAAGAATGTACAGACATGAATTAACAGTCGTATTTTCACACTTCCCCTCAATGCCTTATTTATGGCCAATTCAGTGGAAAACAGATGAGTAACAAAAGATGGGAACACGCGCTCATTGTGCAACGAATGACAACATATCTACCATTCTTTTACAACTGGAAACATTGTGAATGCATTACTATGGACGTGTATGTGGCTCTTTATAGCTTTTATCCCACTGCATCAATTTTCACACTATTCAATTGTATGCTTTCTTTTATGTTACTTGAATTTTTTTATCACTTAAAAGCTTGTGTTTGCTTTTTACATGGCTTTAGATTTCTAGCCTCGACTACCCCCGCTGTCAAAACAGACCTACTCAATGCTACTGAGCATCCAAACTAAATATTAATAGCTTAGCCATTTTTATTTAAAAACTAAAAACTAAACCAAGTTGTTGTATCTGTAGTTGTAGGAAACTTGACAGTAATGATTTGTGACAAGTAGAATAAGTGATAGCTTAGAAGTTGCTTACATTTACGTTATGATCGTTTTAAAGATATGTCATAATGTCTAGTTTTGGAATCATCTAACCGCTATTGGTTTCACATATCTATAATTGGCACATGAGGATCAAAAATAAAATCTCAATTTAAAAAAAAAATTGCTTTTATGAATATGGTCTAATTTTGAATAAATGAGGTTTATTATTTGACTGTTAGGCATAAGATATTAGTCTGTCTTCTGATAGATTAGTCTGGGGTAGTGAAAGCTGTCTTGAAGCTCCGATAACCACACTCCAACCACAAATAGAACATACTCAGATTACAGCTACAAATGTCTCCCTGAACAGAAATACAGCAGCAAAGTTTAGGGACTGACACAATGCAAGATAGTGTTTGGGCTGATCATGAGAGTCATTGTAAAGGGGCGCCTTGGAATCCACTCTGTAACCAGGTGCAGTGAAGGCAGTGTATAAGAGCCGAACTTGAAATGTATACTTTTATTAGTTTTCTCCATCACTAAATGAAGATGTTGGGTACGGTACTTACAATTGCCTCAGGTTCACTAGGCCATCAAAGGCATCATGTGGCAACGACTGGATGTAATTTGATTGTAGATCCCTGCAAAGGTAACAATAATGAAAATCATTGATCTGCATTTAAATATTATGAAAATACAAATTGTGATCATCAAAATTTAACTATGTGTTCACCTTGTACTATCCATTTTGGTAGGTAACATTGAAAGCATTCCAATTCGAAGTTGGAGGTAAAACTGAACAATTCAACTTTATGAGCAGAAGTTAACACCAGCGTATTGATAATGGTGCGAAATATTAATTAAACTTCAATAACCCAAACAATGTGGCTCTATTGAAGAAAGCTCTAATTATTTCAGAGGTGACGATCGCATTCATTTTACGCATACCACGACCCCGGAAGACGATTCATACGTGATGACACTTTGAACAGTTTTTTCAATCAAGTCGTAAAATAAGGTAGAAATATGACAGAAACCGACAAAAGGTGAGACTTGCTACGGAAATGAGATGGGCGACAAAGACGGTTCAGGCTTTTTCCGCCAACGAGCGCTCATTTCCCGTTGAAGGAGATCTACTGTGAGGCGCTGGTCTGATCGACCCTAGGAAAGAATGACGAAAAGTTTGCTAAGCCACTACGCAGTGTTTTCGTACATTGTTACCCACTAATAGAAACAAGTGTACGTGTATATTCATGAAATAGAGCCACACATCAGAATTCCGAGACAAAATGTAGAATTGCGACCGTGGTCATTAATGGATTGAACTGTCAAGGTCCCTTTGTAAGGCAATGGTAGTAAACATGGGCAACCATACTCGACTGATTAATATGCAAACTCTACAATAACACCGAAAACTGTCACTGAGATCTCGCAATCTGAAATGCCGAAACACAAACTAAGTTGAATTTTATACACGTAGATATACTGCAAGTTGACAGTTATAGACAATTCAAGTGACCCGGTACGGGAAATGCCTTAATTATTTGAATGAAATGCCGTAAGTTTCGGCGATTGTCGAACGGCGATGGTGAATCATTTAGACTGAGTACACACGTACACTACACTACATAGGCAGATCGATTGACCTGGTAACTTACAGAAATTCTGTCCATGTAGGAATCTCTTTGGGCATTTCAGTCAGATGCTTGTTACTGCAGTCCACCAATGGACCAAGACAGGAACAGTTCGATGGACACATACTTCGCTGAGCATTACATCCAGGACACAGAACCACCCCAGAAATAACAAAAGCCGCATAGAAATATAACAACACCGCCGCCATGTTTGTTTCAGCAAGCCAAGCTGGCTGTAGCGGGGCTAAACTCTGTCACTCTGCTGATCGTGTCCTCTTTACGGCTGTAAAATCCAAAAAAACAGACATTTTGAAATGTCAGCCTAACAGCGACTCGCTCTCGTTGTTCGCCTCATTCACTATCGCGGATCATAGCCTGCGTAAGAATAATCACAACTGTCTCTGCTTTTCTTTGCACACGAAATGTGAACCTCACCACCCACGTTTTCATACAGCATAAATTCCAAAGCCAATGATCGACGCTGATTGGTCAATTTTGGAAGCACGTGACAGCGATCTGTAAATAGTAGGCAACCAATAGAGCCTGCCGCAAAATACAATATTGATGCAAAAACTAAAAATATTATCGTCGGAAATCGTAGACTTTATGCCAATTTTCATTATTATATGTTTTGAAGGATCTTTCACTAAAAGTTGTGTACACTTTGAGAGTTATAGCGAGATTGTGTTTATGTTTCTTCAAGAATCACATATACTAAGTCAAAATCATTGAACTTCTACGATTACTGTATTTTGTTTCGTACAATTATTAGTATATTTTATCTGTTCGAAAGAAATTGATAAAAACGGCAAAAAAAAGACTAACTGGGGATACTTGAAACCGCCAACTGCTTGAATGCAAATGAAGATTGACAGCCACCAGGTGTCCGGTTTCATTTCTTCGCCCTTTGAGTGACGTCACTTGACTTTGTTGGGCGATAATAGATGTTGAAAATGGGCAATTAGAGAGTTTGACACATGATTTAGATATACACTTTTCTTTAGACAAGTGGTACCAAATAGCCACATTTTACATAGAGAACATTTGAACTCTGCTACATCAAGACCCGTGCATATTGACCTCCCCAATTTTATCAACAATGCCATTGTGAAATTGCCCAAACTCATCGACAGCGAATTTTCATCGAAGAACGTGACGTGAATGTGAATCTATGGATACCTAGTCTCTAACATGTCAAATGATTGGAATATCCCAGTATCATTGAACAACAGGAAAACGTAGCTAACACTCACATCAGAGTTTAATGAACCTGAACCCAAGCCCCACTCTCGTTGTCAATATCAGAAGCCCTCAGTCCGATCATTAATATTTCGCTCCATCGCAAAGATATCTATTAATTCATCAATAATATTTGCGAGGTGGTCAACTATTATGGATTGAAAGCTACACAACTGTTTAAAAATCATAAAATGGGTGAATATGTTGAGTAATATCGATTAGGCGAACTGGAGTTGCTCACACATATCATATATCAGTAACCATGATATTCAAAATAAATATTCCTATCAATAGACTCGTGTTTACATGTGTTGAGAACCCAATAAATTTGAGCGGCTTGTAACCAATAAACTTTGCATACTTTTACATGAGAATAGTTTTTTTTAAAGTGGTTCTGTTTCACTACTGTAAACTTTAATTTTATTTTAGCTGGAATTAATGTTCGCTGAAAAGACATTTTGGATGTTTTGTATGAATTTAATTTTATTGATTTTTGACAAGTTGAATGTAAAATATAGGAAAAAAGGTATGCTCGCTGGTATTTATTTTCACTAAATCATTCCTTCATCGAAATTAATTCAAAGCGAAAATAAAGTATTTTACAGTATGTGATTATTTCTGCTATGCATTTGGTACACAGATGAGCTGTTATCCAAGTTAATTACTCGGAACCATATACTAGTACATAATATACGTGTGTGTGTTTCTCGATGCAACGATGTCACACAGCAAAAGGTTTTTATTATACGCCAATTGCAGATTTTTAGGGTTTGATGCGCCAAGATTGGTTTATTGGTCGACATCTGACCTTTATTCTTTTACAATAGGGTTTCATCTTATCCACCGTGACGAACGAGTACGAAAACCGAAAAGTTTTAAATAATTATTTGAAACTGATTATATTATTTGACAGTGTGTTGCATGAATCAGTTGGAATCCAGAGGGGATTTTTTTTTTCAAAATAACCTCCAGCCACAATGCATGATAGTATATTATACGTAATCAGTTGTTAAAACAAAAATATATCAAGTCAAAGTAAATTCTAATATCATACATGGAGCATGCAACTCTGGACTTTAAACTCCCCGTAGATGGTATACAATTTTGTTTAATCATAAGGTCATTTCAAATTTCATCATTTATAAATCAATACATCAGTAGGTATATTCGAACTGCGTATATACAGTTATTTCTGTAATTGCCGTACGCAATTGTCCTCTGTTTGCACATGATTATTCTTACAATAAATTTGAACGAAATATAACCCTCAAATATGGCAAAAACTGGGGTGGCGGCAAATTGATAAAAAAAGTAATTGAATCAAAAATGTTATTTAAAATAACACTTTGAGTGCAGATCGACATAATCTACGGCACATGGCGCTAAGTATGTTAAATCCTCAATTATAACACTCAAGCCATTTATTCATTGTAACCATTTGTATTTAGAGAAGAAAAAGGAAAACATTTTTTTTTTAATTCATAAATGACATATGTCAATGTTCCCCTAATCGTGTTTTTGCGAAGAGAAGATTTAGTTTGTTGCAGACACGGGCGTATAAAGCGCTGTTGACGCTACCATACGAGGTCACCACGAAGTGTGATCATCGCGTGCTCAACAATTTACGGGTTACAGTATTTAGCGTGTTAGAATATATTCCCACGCGATGTCACAAATTTATTCACTCCACATCACATTTTGTTCAACAAATTAAAGATTATAAAGTCAGCTCCGATTTACTTATCATGACATTCGCTTGAGATGGTAATTGTAATATGTAGTACGGAAGGCGTTCCCTGCGATTGATCTTAATGCGACCAAAAGGTGAAGTGACGTTCAATTCTTATTCTATCCGCGCTTTCGAAATAACGATAATAGTAAATACCCAGAAACACACTTTGAGGAATCACCCACAAGCAAAATATAAAATTGGTAGGGCTTGCAACGAAGACTCAACGTTTAAAATAAGACCGAAAAATTATATTTATATATCTGGTATTGAAAAATAGCCATATTTGGTAAAATTGTTCGTACAACTTTCATTATAAGATCAGAGGATGTAAAAGCTTATCTGCGATCAAGTGTATGTGCTACGTATTTTCTGAAAGTTAAATCGACTGGAAAGAAGTCTGTACGAAGTCAGTGAATGTGTAATGCCCAATACAGCTTTGTAATACGATTCGTTGCCTGTACTCCGACAGACTACTGTGTAGGAAATTGTCACAGCCGTTGTCGTCGCCTATAAACTTTGATCGCTTTGAATCGATAGCAATTTAGATACGTGCACGCAATCTGTCCCTATTGCTACTGAATTCACGTTACGTGAACCTGTTGCGTGTTGAGTACCAAGACAATCAAGTTGGCAGAACGTGTTTCGATATGCCCGTTGACAAATTAAGCACCGAAGTTTAAATTTCCCCGGGGAACATCAAATAATACAGTTAGATATAACAGAGGCGATGGTCGATATCTATATAATTTATTATATGCGTGACATTACGATTACGTATTTAATTATATAAAAGTATAATTGTTGGTACGTTCTGACTTCGTTTTACGCTCTGAAATGAACTAATTTAGTTGATAGTGAACACAAACGGAAGCCATTGAAAATGTCGACAGTTGTGCATTTCAGTGGTCAGAGTTCAAACTTATTCACATCTATCATGTGTTAAAGTAAGGCTATAATAAAGACGAATACGTCGCGAATGCCTGTAACACCATGCTAAGTTTCTAACGAGTCCAATCGCTAGCCTGCAGATGGTCAACAGACTGTGCAAATAATGGGTCCCTCCCAACGTCCTCTCGTATTTCCACCAATGCCAAGGGTTAGAATCTAGTGTTTTATCATGATCCCAAGAGAAATATTAAGAAAGAAAAGATGCCAACTACGATTAAGCAAATCGGGCATTCTCAGGTGATTTTATTTTCACACCGTTGTGTTGTCTTTTTGAATGGAAATCACCGTCTATTGATAACACGCAGATGGCCTTCCCATATACAACCGACTCCGTCGGCCTCACAACATCCCATGGGACTGTATTTAAAGGCTTCATTGCGCCACGACTGTCTAATATCAGATTGTTAACATATCCTATACGGGCCCGGTGTTACTACTATACCTGATTATCGCCACTGTATATAGGTATACTTCGTTCCAGCAGTACTTATTGGTAGAAGTCCGAAAAGACCGCAGACATCGTGGTGGCATACAACGCAATCGCGATACTGACGCACGTTCGGTTTATCCACACGTTTGCTTCCCCGTAACAACTGATACGCCGACTGACACCTGTGCAATTACAACCCGTCACCCTTCCCAATAGGTTGTTATCAGCACACTGATCGTACGTGTATCAAGACTTTAAAGCAACACTACATCGATCCACACCAGTGTACAGATGTGAGTGAGTGCTTTTTAGCACACAACTATAGCAGTCTTGTAAACTCTCCACAAAGGGACAGTGCTGAAAGCGAGTCCGCCGCGAATCAAAGCGCCTTATCGCTCAATGTCGCCGATGGTCCCACAGATGGAAGTGTAAATAACGCTGTATTGAATTTTTGTACTCGATAGGCTCAAACAAACAAATCCATTTGTCATTGTCCAATTTTGAACTCAGAGGTGTGAAGAAATCTGTTTAGATATTATAATCAAATTTCCCAAACAATCACATAACGGTCACCTACCTTAATCGCATTAGGTAATGTTCTCGAGTTGAAAATTTAAAACACGTACATATTAATCTGAACGTAACTAGAAATGAAGTCCAACGGTACAAAGAAGTCCGGTGCCCATAATGACGATCATGATAGGACGTTAGCACAAACTGCCGATAACTGCTAGCTTCCGTTCTCAATTGAAACCAATAAAAACTTTGCACCCCGCTTTCAGGCGGCTCTCAATCACTGATTAGCGCATTTCGTATGCCCATAAATCGCTACGATTGGTCGAGAGGCCATCGTGAGTAAATACCGACTTTAGATTTTGATATGGCGAGTTGGATTGGTGATTGCTTGCAATATCAGGGTAAATAATTTATTTATTTATGTATAGGTATGTCTTATATTAGGGGCTGCGATACGTGGTGCACAATGGTATAGGTTGGTTGTGTAAGTTGCCCATTCTAATCTATTTCAATACCCCATTCAAATTCTGCATGTATA